AAAAAAAAAAAAAAGTATTAAAAAAAAAGATATAAAGGATCCCGTGAAATTTTGACAGTTTTCCATTTTTTTCTCCCTAGGAAGTTGGGAACACAGTGCCTCTCTTCCCTTTTTTCCAAGCTTTTTGTATGCTGTCACACTACTACAGGAGAAAGTGAACAAGGGCACCTCACAGGGGCCTACATGACCTGGACTCCGTATACATCTCCAGCTCTTTAGTCCCACCAGATTGATCTCTTGGTTCCCATAATGGCCATTTGCTTTTGCATCTTCTCTTTGCACACGCTGTTCTCTCCGTTTGGAACACCCCCACTGCTTTCCCCAATTAAGCTAGGAACCTTTGTTAGTTGTTTCTAACTTTTCTTCTTAAAACATTTACCGTTGTGATTGCTGATTTCTCTGTTTTCCCATCAGTCTGTAGCTCCTTAGGGAATGGGCTGACTTGCTCTCCACTGTAACTTCCATACCTACTATAATGCCCGGCTCTTAGTAGGTAAGATAAATATTTAATGCTTTTAGTTCCCTGTACAGCTTGGTTCCGTAATCCACTGTATGCCTGGAGAGTGGCAGTGAAAGTGAGACTTGGGCTGAGCCTTCGGGATTCGCGGGCCATCAGAGGAGAGCAAACTCCTCATGCCACGGTATGAGTAGTTACAGGGAAGTTCTTTTTTGGGTGTGTTTGTTGCTGCGTCGCTACAGCGGACTTTACGGTGAAGAGAGGTAGGGTCCTACGGGCAGCAGCCAGGGCAGCCCGGGAGCTGTCACTAGGGTTTGATCATGTGACTTTCAACATGGCGACGGCCTTGACTCACTCCCGGAAGGGGTGGAGCCTGGGCACAGGGCAGGCTCAGATTCCGATTAAAGTGGGGACTGTGCTCGCGGTAAGAGACAGTTTATCATGGAGGCGAACGGGTTGGGGTGAGTTCTCTGTGGTATGGCCAGCAGAGCTTCTGACCTGTGTCTTCCAACTCAGTAATCTGTCCCTGTACTCCCCTTCCCCCACCTAGAGAGCTCCCAACCCGAACCCCGGTCGCTGGAATCCCGAATCCTCCAACCGTGGATTCCTGAGGGACCGCCTAGCTGGACTGCGTCCCCCAGACCGTCATTTACGGGATCCCCCCGAGACTTTCTATTCCTCAACTAGGATCCCTATTTCGGGACCGTCAACTCTGATCCCTCCTTGACTATCCTCCAGTCTGGGGATCTCCCAGCCCCAGAACCAGCCCACTGGTACCCCTCTACCAGAGATTTTCTGGTCCAAAGACCCCCAAACTATCCTTACTGGGCTCTCCCCCCCTGCCCCACCCCATTCAGTGGCTTTGAGTTTGGGGAGGCTGGGCCTGTGTCGGGTAGAGGCTTCAGGGTGGCCCCTTCTAATCTTGTGCACCAACTGATAGGCAGAGAGGAGGCAGAATGGGTGGGAAGCCACAGCTTGAGAGCTGGCCTGGGGAAGGCAGATAGTGGTGCCTGATCTGCCTTAAGAATCCGCACCTTCCCCAACCCCCAGCCTAGCTTACTGACACCTACCCCCACCCCTTCCTGATCTCCAGACCCCAGGGTTTTCCGGAGCTGAAGAATGACACATTCCTGCGAGCAGCCTGGGGAGAAGACACAGACTATACTCCCGTTTGGTGCATGCGGCAGGCAGGCCGCTACTTGCCAGGTGAGGATCAGGGCCTGGGGGACTAGGTAAAATTCTGGAGGGTGAAAAGTTTTTGAGGGGTCGGGGAAAGCTCTAGAAGTTCCTCAAAGCTGAGCCCTGCCTTTCCTCTTCTGTCTGCAGAGTTTAGGGAAACTCGGGCTGCCCAGGACTTTTTCAGCACCTGTCGCTCCCCAGAGGCCTGCTGTGAACTGACTCTGCAGGTGAGGGGTCCACAAAAGAGGGAGGGATTGATACCCTCAGCTTGCCACTTAGCAACCTGTCTTCTATTCCCTACAGCCACTGCATCGCTTCCCTCTGGATGCTGCCATCATCTTCTCCGACATCCTTGTTGTACCCCAGGTACCCACTCAAACCTGATTCTGGAACGGGTAAAAAAGAGAAAAGACAGTCAAAGCTCAAGATAAGCACGTATCTTCACTGGATAGAGGGAAAAACTTAGGCTGGAAGAGATGGAGTTTGGCTGAGTTTTATTCTCCTTTTCCTCCTTCCTGGTGTGGGATCAAGAGAGCCTTTCCTCCTGGAGTTCAGGTTGCGAACCCAGTTGTTTTCTCCCTCTCCAGGCACTGGGCATGGAGGTGACTATGGTGCCTGGCAAAGGGCCCAGCTTCCCAGAGCCATTAAGAGAAGAGCAGGACTTAGAGCGCCTCCGGCATCCAACAACAGTGGCCTCTGAGTTGGGCTATGTGTTCCAGGCCATCACCCTCACCAGACAACGGCTGGCTGGGCGTGTGCCACTGATTGGCTTTGCTGGTGCCCCGGTAATATGGAACAGGGCAGGGACTTGGGCATGGAGAAATCACTCTGGCTGGTCTGGTGTAGAGAAAGGAAGAAAGTGTCAGTCTGGCTTTTACACGTGTGACATTCTCTTTGTATCCTTTGCAGTGGACTCTGATGACATACATGGTTGAGGGTGGCAGCTCAAGTACCATGGCTCAGGCCAAGCGCTGGCTTTACCAGAGACCGCAGGCCAGTCACCGGCTGCTTCACATCCTCACTGATGCTCTGGTCCCGTATCTGGTGGGACAAGTGGCTGCTGGTGCCCAGGTGAGTCCTGAGGGAGAGACAAATAGGCTGAGGTTTAGTCTATAAGGACCAGAAGCAATGGAGTTCCTTACACCTGAGAGAGTAGATGTCTTAATGCCAGGCACGAAAGAAGCTTGGCCTGCAGTGATCTGGCTGGAGCAGCTAAGCCCACCCTGACACTGGCAGGAGGGCTTAATGCTCGATGTGTTCAAAGACCAAAGCTAGCACTGGGATCTGGGGAAGGCAAAACTTTTTGACTGGATCTGGGTTTAAAGGCTTAGGCAGTATCAGGGGTTGAAGTCACGTGGGGAAAATTGAGGCACATTCTGTGCGTGGGACCTGAGGTACTTCCTTTCTGTGTGTTACGTATTTCTCTTCACCACCCACTAACTGTAGGCATTGCAGCTCTTTGAGTCCCACGCAGGGCATCTTGGCCCACAGCTCTTCAATAAGTTTGCACTGCCCTACATCCGTGACGTGGCCAAGCAAGTGAAGGCCCGCCTGCAGGAGGCAGGCCTGGCACCAGTGCCCATGGTAAGGATGGGGATGGGGTGAGTG